CTCGCTGGCGCAGGCATGCCGGGACGGCGGCCCCGGGGACGCGGTTGTGCGGCGCTCTGGCGGTCTTTGGCGCATCGGCGTGGAGGTCGCGGATCTGGTGTCCGCGCCCAGATCCCGCGATGTTGGTGGCGTCCGCGACGGGCCACCGCGTGAGGCAGGTAGGCCGGGGTGCGGCGGCTCCGGCTGGCTCCTGCAGATCCGCGGTAGTGGTGGTGTGCCACGGATTGTGGACGGCGATGCGGCGGCGTCGCCCTGGTGGGCTCGGCGTGCAGCCGTGAAGGGTGATGGCTGTCCTGGGCCTCGTGGGAGGTGGGGTGGCGGCTTGTGAAGGTCGGGGAGGCGGCCCCGGGAGTGTGGTCGCTGGTGACCTCGTGGTGGCTAGCGTGGGGGCGTGGATTTAGTGCTTTGCGTGGATCTGGCCCTCCCGTCAGGTGTGGTGCTCCTCCGTGGTGGAGGTGTCGGGGTGGTTGGTGGCGGTGAGCTGCCTTGCGTGCTTGGTCATGTGGCTTCGGCGAGGATGGTCAGCTTGTTGCCGGAGACGGTTTGCTGGGCAGGTTGCGGTGAGGATGGATTTGGTGAGCTCCGGGTGAAAGCCTAGCTCGACCTCGGTCGTTGTCGGCGTCAACGGCGTCCTAGGACGTCGTTCCCTCCTTGGAGGCGTCGTCGTGGAGCCCCTTCACCACCATTGTCGCCTCGGTCTCGGGCTCTCCGGGCGAAAACCCAAGTTCCGACCTTGGTCGGAGCGGGCGTCGGTGGCGGCCTTGTCGCTTCCCTCTTGGGGGGACACCTTGGAAGTCTGGTCCTCCGTCAGTTCGCGGTGGCCCGAGTGGCTTTGCGGGTTTGTCGTCGGCTAGGCGTGTGCGTAGCCTTGGGGCCGGTGAGGAAGTCGGAGCAGTGGCTCCAGTCAGCAATGTGGTGGAGTGTCGGATATGGTTGCGTGGGCGACAGTGCCGTCGGCTCAGGTGGAGCGCGGCCTAGGGTTGGCGGGGAAGTCGGAGCGATGGCTCCGGAGAGCACCTCTGTGCTGTGGAGTGTCGGTCCTGGTCGCTTGGGTGGCAGGGTCGTCGGCTCGTGTGGGGTGCGGCCTTTGGGCCGACGTGTGTGAGTTTCCGTGGTTTGTAAGCCGGAGTGGCGGCTCCGGGCGGCTCCAGGTTGTGTGGTGGAGTGACAACTCTGGTCGTTTGGGCGACAGGGAAGTCGGCTCGTAGGTGCGCAGCCCTGGGGCTGGTGTGTGTCGTTGTATCGGTTTTCGGCTAGTTTTTTTTTATAAACTAGCCAATTCTCTTATTCTTAACGCAAAGGCAAAGCTCCTACTGGTTTCTCGAAAAAACAGAAAGGGCAGTTGACGGCCGCCTAGAAGATAACCCATGTGTGGGAGGCGTGGGACGAGGAAGAAAGTGGAAAATAGAAAAACACAAAAAGTTAAGCAGGGTGGATTAGTTTTCATTGGCCAACAGGTGAGCGGGACGGCCCACCCTCCTGAAAATCAGGGGGAAGAGGTTTGTGATTTGTTGTTAGATAAAAACAGTTTAGAGCTTTTTACAAATCTTTGCATGTCTAGCATTTTTGTTTTCTATGAGGGCCTGGTATATTGTCCGCCCCAGTTTTTCAGCTTTCTAGTACAATGGAGTGAATGGACGCGCCTGTCATTTGGCGAAGAGGACATCCATATCCTCCAAGCTCCGGCCCCTCGTCTCCGGCAGCCACATGTGCACGAACACGCACGCCGTCGCCGCCACGCCGGCGTAAAGGAAGAAGCACCCAGGCATCGTTATCCACCCGGCGAGCGATATGAACGACATGCTCACCGCCCCGCACGTCAGCCGGTTCACCGCCATGCCGAGGCTCGCGCCCTGTGCCCGCAGCCGCAGCGGCAAGATCTCCGCGGCGTACGTGGACGCGAGCGGCCCGAACCCGATCGAGAACGCCGCCACGAACGCCATCACGGACGCCACGCACACGGCCGCGCTCGCCGACGACGTCTCGCGGACGCACAGCGTGAGCGCCAGAGCGGTGAAGGACACTGCGACGCCGCCGGCGCTGGCCAGCAGGAGCGGGCGCCGGCCGACGCGGTCGACCAGGAGCATGGCCACGAAGATGAAGCACGTCTTGACGACCCCGACGGCCACGGTGGCGCCCAGTACGGAGCTATTCGTGGACATGCCGGCCTTCTTAAACACGAGCGGGCTGTACAGAACGACGGCGTCGATGCCGGACGCCTCCTGGAAGAAGTGCAGCCCGACAACGCAGACGAGGATTCGCCTGACTGTCGCCGACGGCCGGACGATCAGCTCCTGCCACACGGAGCCAGCAGCCTGTGGCGCATCAAGGGCCCGGTTGATGTCCTCTAGGCGGAGGTCGGCCTCCGCGGCGGTGTCGGAGGTGCGCAAGAGCACCGCGCGCGCGTCGGCGTGGCGTCCGCGCATGGCGAGCCATCGAGGCGACTCCGGCATGGCGAGCACTCCCACGGCTAGGAGCACGGGCGGGAGCACCCCGATGGCATACATGATGCGCCAGGCGAGGTGCACCGGCAGTCCGGCCAAGGCGTAGTTAGACGTGTAGCCAAGAAGGATGCCGACGTTGATAAAAATCTGCCCAAAGCATAACAGCAAGAACAATTTAAGCTCCTTCACCGATCAAATCGAATCAACGCCGGCACATACGTACGTCGAGCAGCGACGAGAGCACGCCGCGCGTGGACGGCGGCGAGATCTCGGCGTTGTAGACCGGCGCGACGACGAGGGCGAGCCCCATGCCGATGCTGGTGACGAAGCGTGCAGCCACGAGCGCCGCGTAGCTGCCGCCGAGGGACATGGCGAGCGCGCCGGCCATGAGGAAGGCGTTGGCGACCACAAGCGTGACGCGGCGGCCCAGGAGGTCGGCCGTCCAGCCGGAGAATAGGATGGACACGAGCATGAACACGTTCATGGACCCCGCGAGCAGCTCGACCTGCGTGTCGGTGAGGCCCAGGTCCTCGCGGATGAAGAGCTCCGCGCCGCTCATCAAGGCGAGATCTGCAGTGCAGGGGACGCACACGATCACGCGCCAGAGCATACGATACGAGCCATGGACGATGGCGACGATGTAGATTGTGCTACACTACTGAGTATCTCACGTACTGTAGCCCGTGAGGATGGTGGTGATGGAGGCGAGCGTGACGCAGGCGAAGGCGTACAAGTTCCGCCGTGGCTTGTCGAGCACGGCGAGCAGCTTCGTGGTGGTGGCTTCGGCGGCTGCATCGTGCGTCATGGCGCCGCCCTGTTTCCTCGCCGGCCCCAGGTTCAGCTTCAGCCACACCTTTTCCTTAAAAAAGAGATCTACAACTTGGTGCACTTGCAGAAGACGACGAGCAAGCTAGCCGGTGAGATCTGCCACCCCACAGGTTTCAGTGTGGCTAGTTTTTATTTGTCTCTTAGCTCGTGGAAATGACAGGTGATTGACACCTAATTAACATGCACGAGGCAGACAGACCTGCTTAGATCTTGGCTCTCGACAGAAATAAATCAACCTTGGGATGGCCCGTTGTCCTTTGTTACTTTTTTTTTTTACAGAAAACAGTCCAAAGGAGCATTTTATATCTTAATTATGTTCAGCCCATTTTCTATTACTTAGCATAATGAAAATACAACTGCCAATTCACTAAGTTCAGGAGAAGAGAGAAAGGAGAAAAGCGAGTTCAAAGAAAACACCAACGAAAACTATCTTAACCAGCACCAAAATCCACGGAGTTATAACCTAAACATCCCCACATAAACCAGGAAACGTCCACTAGCGGCTGAGAACAAATCATCCAAGTGTAAGTCAGTCACATGTAGCGGCCCCATCTTGCACAACACCATAAATCCTCATCAAATTTGTAGCATTGTAGACCAAGTGTCGCTCCTTGCTTTGATGCCTCCTCGTCTCCCGTCTTCTGCAGGCCTACCCATGAAAGCATAGAGGCACAAGCCACAAAAACACTCTCGAAGGGATTTTTTGTTTTCTTTTAAACCTGAAGACATTCCTGCAATTCCAAATAGCCCAATAAACAGTTGCCTGACCCGCTGTGTAAGATTTCTCACCATCACAGAAAATAAAATGTATAACACATGGCATAGAACTGACATATATTGTTTGGGCATAACCGCACCAGTTAGTCCCAAGAACTACCCCAAAATAGTCAAACTACCCTAGCTACTGTGCATAACAAGTTTTAGAAGTTTCACTATCTTCACAAAAGGAACATTTAGGATTCCCATTCCATTTACTTCTTTTCATAACTTTGATATCTTTGTTGCTTGGCTGGATATCCTTTTTCTTTTCCTTGGGCAATTTTTTCATTCATCATGGACCAGTTGAGCCTATACTTCATTGGTTTCCTAAAAATTTTCTTAATTGATTTGCAACGACGAGCAATGAATAAATCTTCTATTTCATTGTTCTTTTCATTTGTCCCTTCCAGATATTCCATAATAGAGAAATCAAGACAATGCTCTTAGAGGATAGCATAGTGCATCCTCGGTCAATTTGGTGCCACCAAAGGCGTAGCCATGGCCCAGGCTGTCCGGGCCCCGCCCCAGGTCGTGGCACCTAATTCAATTCTTTGACATTTTTTTAGAGCAAGTATAATAGGATGACATAAGCATGCTATAAGGAATAGAATAATATATCTTTACTTAGTTGGAGGAGAGAGAAGAGAAGCTGACTCTTGGTTAGTAGCCAGCTGCAACACGAGACCCAAAATGTTTTGTGAGGATGTAAGGTGGACCAACTATTGATAAACTAGTACACATTGAAAACTTACTATTGTACATGTCGGCTAAGAGGTTGGCTGTAGATGACATAACAACTTCTTATAGCCGACTGTTGGCTGTATTATTAACCATGCTCTTAGGGGTATTCATTCTTCGCCTATAGCACCTTTGACACTGCTTTGACATTGTAGTGCCTCCTCGGCCTCGGACTTAAACAGGCCCGGCCCGATCCTCAGTAGCTAAAAAAGCATCCAGGGATAACAAGATCAACCAACTACTAAACTAGATAATAGGCACATGGATAAAAAAATCGAGAAGAGCTAAGCAGGCCGAACAAATTGGTTTTCTTAAGCGAGTAAATTTCTCAAAACCACCATATTTGTATGTCGAGCAGCGATGAGAGCACGCCGCGCGCGGATGGCGGTGAGATCTCGGCATTGTAGACCGTCGCGAGGAAGAGGGCAAAACTCATGCCGACGCTGGTGACGAAGCGTGCAGCCATCAGGCCGGCATAGCTGCCGCCGAGGGACAAGGCGAGCGCACCGGCCATGAGGAAGGTGTTGGCAATCACAAGCGTGGCGCGGCAGCCCAGGAAGTCGGACGTCCAGCCGGAGAAAAGGATGGACATGAGCATGAACACGTTCTTGGACACGTACTAATGGATGCCAATGGACTATTCCTATGTGTACGCATCCTTCAAACATATTGCCTAGTTGAGAACTATCTATAAAATGTTGACCACGGATTTAGTTTCCCACTACCTCCTATTCCAAGTATTCTTTGTCACAAGTGAAGAACATGCATCAATTTCTATGAACATATAACTGGTACTTCTATCTATAAAAATATGTTTGTTTTGATTTCTCAACACTACGGGTGAGGACTATTTATCAACCAATACATAAAGGTGTGAGAGAGTAGCTGCGGCCGAAGTGCCTCACCAACTGAACAATCATGCAATTAATGATTTGAAACTTTTATTTACTTATATGACACCTTGAACTTCTATAAGTGCTCGAGCAATCCGCTGCTAACATGGTAACATATCTATTTGCCCCGTAGCCCTGTAAAACCAATAAAAACTTCTTAAAATGGTCTTAGATTACTTTTCCTTTTTATAGTATTAAACTATTGTTACTCACAATGGTGATAAATTTTGTTTTACGGATGCTTCCTACCGCTATATGTTTACCGAAGGCTAAATGCTACAAAATGCTAGCTTCCTCTGCTAGCATTTTTTTATCCCTTCATCTAAGACAAGCGACCAGTATGAATAAATCTCACAAGTGTGCCAATAGAATGAGCCAATCTAAATTGTAGTCCCTCCGTTCCGATTTACTCATCGTGGTTTTAGTTCAAAATTGAACTAAAACCACGACGAGTAAATCGGAACGGAGGGAGTAGAACTTAACACAATGATACTACTAATGGCTTCACTTTTTTACTTTGTCGGAACAATATTAGTGTCATCAATCAACACGTGTAGTAAAGACAAAAGAGTAGCACAATTATTCCAACTTGTGTCTCATGTAGTTCAGTTTCTCCACATGGTGTCGTGAGATGTCTGCGGCTAATACAAGCCAACATCCATCTGGATTACTCTATTAACTAAGACATGAAACTTGCATTAATTTTCATGGAAGTCTTCCTATGCTTAGCTAGCCAGTACCGTTTTATTCTTTCTTTAAAAAATATTTGTTGTGAATTCAGCACATTAGAAAGAGTGATTGTTTTATGAGATCTTGTACAAAGGCATAGGATAATCATACACACGCACGCACAGGATTTGGCGCCATTGAAAGAACTCGGGGGCTTGTGAAAACTAGTGTATCTGGTATGCGAAAATCAAGGCAAACCATAATTTTGACAAGAAACCTTTATAGTGGTTAGTTTGTGACAAATCAGCGTATTCATTTCTGCTAAATGTGTGAACAAGAACCCATGGCAATATGATGTGCATTACATATGCATAAAAAAAAGGCGGCTGAAGCGCCCACTTCTGTCGTGGTGCTAGGAGAACATCATCGGCCATAACATCAAGAAATTGACGAGTTTTTTTTTAGAAACATAGTACTACAGATGTTCACATATACTCATCCCTGTGAAGGCATGCACGTACATACTATCACTATAAGCATCTTCGAGAGGCTGAGCTTGCGGGTCTTGATACTGACAAAGTCACTATAAACATCTTGCTATTAACAAGAATAAATCGCCTCCCACTGAAAGAATAATCCGCTATCATGAAACACAGGTATCAAACCTGATTTTGATATAAGCAGGGGCGGAGCCACGTTATGCCATCCGGTGTCACTGGCACCAGGTAAAGTACGTGTTTTTTTAGAGAAAAGGCGATAGTCCGACTTTATAAATAAAGCCACCAGGCAGAGTCACAACCAAACCAAGGAACCACAAGAGTTTAACAGGACCGAATAAGAAGTATGGGTACAAGGCAACCAGCCTATCATGGCACGCAGGCCAGCCAAACCAACAGCCAAACCACTAAGAAAGCGTCCTCCTAGAGTGCCGCAGCAGGGAAGAAGCCGTAGATTTCATTTTGGATAGCATATCGTCGAAAGCCTCTAGATCCCCATCCTTAGTCAATGATCTCCACTGCTGTAAAAAGACATTGGTTTTAAATAAGCAACTGACTGGGTTAGTTGGGAAAATGTGTTCAATAGTGAACTTGTTCCTAGTAGTCCAGAGCGCCCAACAAATCACAGCCCAACCCACCATGAAAACCCTATTAGAACGACCTGCTAGGGAATTGATACACTGCCGCAAATCCTCAAAGGAGGAAGGGTTCCAATTAACCCGAAGCCAAAGTCTAATGCAACTCCAAATGAATTTAGCCAAAGAGCACTGGAAAAAGATATGCTCAGTATTCTCCAGGGTGCCGCAGAGCTGGCAATTGTCCGAGCCCGGACCATTCCTCTTCTTAATCTGGTCAGCCGCTGGAAGTTTGCGACGGTGAGCTTGCCAGAGGAAGATCTTGATCTTGGGAGGGATGCGGGCAGACCAAATGTACTTAAACTTGTCAGTGCGGGTACCAGCTATAAGTTTCGAATACGCCGACTTTACCGAAAAACACCCCGAAGAGGAGTGGGGCCAAGCAACGGAGTCCTCTTCCTCCGAGAGCAGGGTGAAGCAGGCAGTAAGGCGATGCCAATCTTCCAACTCTACAGGGGAAAGAGAGCGCCGGAAATCTAAAACCCAACCCTGAGCCGAGAGCTCAAAGATTGAGATCTCGGGATCAGCACAAAACGAAAACAGAGTCAGGTGGGTCACCGCCAGCGTGGTGTCCCCAACCCACCAGTCTAACCAAAAACGCGTGGATTTACCGTTACGTACAACGAACTTCACAAGGGACTGGAAAGCCTTCCTAATGCTCACCAGCTGACGCCAAAATTGAGAACCACTAGAGGAGGGAGCGAACATAGGGTTGGAGGAGGGGAAATATTTCGCTTTGAGAAGATTAAGCCAAGCGAGGCGGTCATCGAGTGTCATAATCTTCCA